CACACACACACACACACACACACACACACACACACACACACACACACACACACACACACACCACACACACACACACACACACACACACACACACACACACACACACACACCACACACACATATAACACACGCATATACACACACACACACACACACACACACAACACACACACACACACACACAACACACACACACACACACACCACACACACACACACAGTGCAACACACACACACACACAGTGCAACACACACACAACACACACCAACACCACACACACACCAACACACACACACACAAACACACACACACACAGTGCACACACACACACACAGTGCAACACACACACACACAGTGCAACACACACACACACACACACACACACACACACACACACACACACACACACACACACACACACACACACACACACACACACACACATGCACACACACACACACATGCACACACAATGTAACATACACAGTGCAACATACACAATATAACACACATATAAAATGCAACACACAATCCAACACACACACACACAATGCAATACAGACCCACAGTGCAATACACATGCAAAATACAACTCACACACAAAATGCAACACAACAACACAAAAAAAAATGCAACACACAGTGCAACACATACATGCATAATGCAACACATGCACACAATGCAACACACACACACACACTCATTCATGAACATGCACTCCCCACCTCCCCACCCCCCAAACACACACATATAGTAAAAGAGAATGGGGGAGGGGGATTCACAGAGATGGCAAGATGATGCTGATTTTTCTTTTTCTTTTCCTTTTTTCCTTGAAAATCTAATAGGCTATAGAAATTTTCTGTCCATTTTGAAGGACTGCAATAAAAATATGATTAGGGGTTTTCTTTTTTCTTTTCTTTTTTTGGTAAACATAATTTGGTCCGTGAATTGTAAGCAGGAACAAAAATTTTAAAATTAACATTTCTTTATATTTGCATTAAGAACATTTTTTCTTTTCTTTTCTTTTTTGCTTTAAAATAGATGCATTAGGTAATGAAAAACTAAATCATGATACATTGTACAGGTTTATGTTCCACTGATTTTTATTTATTTATTTATTTATTTATTTTACCTTTTTTTTTTTTTTTTTTTTTTTTTTTTTTTACCTTTTTTTTTCTTTTTTGTCAGGTCTTGGATCAGGAGGATTTGGCTGCATTGCTTCCAGATGTCAGCAGTGGTAGCGGTCACCAAGATGGGTCATCTGTCTCTCTGGATGGGTTCACAGATGACGTGGTGGTGTCCCAGACTGGGTCGGACACTGAGGGTGAAGACCACGGCTCAGACGTAACTGGTGATGTTGACGACGACTTGCCAGATGTAATTGTGCGTGAGGCTATTAAGTCCATGACAATTGTTGGGGAGGCTGCTCTCAAGTTCAACACAGTGTTGATGGAGGACCTGGATGATGTTGATGGTCGCTCTCGTCCTCATGGTCACCCACATTCACAGCAATCAGGGCAGACTCGTGTTAGTCAACAACAACGAATAGCTCGAAGTCCTAGAGCTGACCTGAGCTTGAGGCAGCGGGATGAAGCAGAGTTAGCAGACAAACGTAGGCGTGGAAGGCCTCCTCGAGCAGGATTGGTAGGGAAAGATAATCAGCAGGAAGAAGACCCAGATCCTCCTCCAATGCCAGAACTGGAGAGCTATGTTCCTTTAGACTGCAATGTTTCCAACGTTTCTCCAGATAGTGGTATTCAGTCTGTGAGTGGTTCACCTTTGCATCACATTGGATCCCCTCCACAACATCACTCCCCGTTATACAGTGCAGGCAAGAGTGGAGATGGGTCTGGCAATCACAATAGACCCTATTCTCCAACTTTGGCTTCGCAAGACTCTCCACCTCCCCCTACATTGTTACCTGCTGTCACTCCTCCACATTTATTAAGCTCTCCACACTATGATTATGATTCTCCAAACTCCCCTCAAATGCCAGCACTCAAGTGCCAAGTGGACCCACCGCCTTTGTTACATGCTGATAATGCCAAGAGAGCAAGCCTTGAAGAACAAGGAACACTCAAGAGAAGAGGACCAGGCCGACCCAAGAAAAGTACAGACAAACTGAAAAGACCAAGAGGTCGACCCAAAGGATCCAAAAATAAGAGCCCAAAGACTGTGGAGGGTGTGGTAGACTTGGAACTCAAGGAAAATGGAACAAAACTCTTAGGAGACTCTGATAGCTTCACATGCTACAGAACAGAAATGGGGCCTAGTGCATTTGTTGTACCCCATGTGCTAGATGTGTGTGGTGAGGAGAAATGGAGCCATAGTTTAGATGCAGAGGACCTTCCCCCTCCCCCAGAACCCATCCCACCCTTAAGACGTGGACCTGGGAGGCCAAAGAAGATTCCTCCTGTGCTAGAACCCAGTGTACCCCTCCAGGAACCACAGTTAAACAAAGTACAAAGTGAGCACAAAGCTGAGCCTTGTGCAGAAGATAGTGCCAACCTTTCTAGTGCCAAGCCTCAAACTCCAGTAGTCAGTTGTGAGCCATCCAGTCCAGTGAAGTGTGACCATGTGAAAAGAAAAGACAGACCCACCAAGGGAAAGAGGCCTGTTGGCAGGCCAAGAAAATACCCCAAGAGGGATGACCTTGATAGTCTGAACAATCTGCCTGCTACAGCTGCAAGTAAGAAGTGCTTTAGTGAAAGAATAATGCACAAAATTATCAACGAGAAAGTTCGCAACAGTGAGAAATCTGATAAATTATCTGCCCGAGTACAGGATGTGGATGATAGCAATGAACCATTTGGGGATCACTATCCATTTCTTGATCATCCTGTTGGACTCATGACACAAACAGACCTGAAAGATAATGAAAGGAAAAGAAAAAAATTATTGAGAGCAAAGATAAACAGTGAAGGCATACCAACAGAAGGGAAGAGAAAGAGAGGAAGGAAAAAGGAATTGCCAGCCATATTTGAGAAGGTTTATGGAAGTCAGGAGCTGAAGACTAAGATCAAGAGTGAAAATGGAAAGCCATCTCTCTGTGCCACCACGTTGTCGTATAAACAGATTCATAAAAGAAAGAAAAAGAAACCCAAGCACTTCAAAAGCAAACACAAAAACATTGTTGATCCTGTATTTCTTGCTGACTTGGAAGACTTGACGGCTGGGATGCAGCAGTGCTCCATCTCCAAAGTACCAATCATTCAGCAGACCAAACCTGGTGAAATCCTTTTGCCATCTATCTTTCGACTGAGAAAGGTAGGCTCTTCTTCGGACTGAGAGAAAGGACTAGTTTGGGAAGGAGAAAGGGGAAGAAAGGAAGAAAAAATGAGAAATTCCAAAATTCATAATTCTTAAGGTAGTTTGGATTAAAGAAACTTCGGTTAATTCATTGTTACTAGAAATTAGGTATTTTCTCATGAATTGTTTGATTTGCGAAGTTTTCTCGTTTTTGTTTCTTTTTCGAAATTTTTTTTCTTGGGGAAAGGGGGTTTTTTTTTTAAAATTATTTTGTTCTTTAGCCTTTTTTTTTTAATTTATTTTTCCTCTGTTTCTTATAACCATTTGAGCATTTTTGGATTTTAATTTTTTACTAAGCCTTTCTGATACCTTACAAGCAGATATAGTTGTGCTTCATCTCTATAACATTGAATTAATGATTGTTCCTCTGCTCCCTCTCCAGGGCCGAGAACGAACTGAAGCAAATGAACAAAGATTACCACTGATAAAAGCCATCGTCGCCATATCTCCACAGCAGTGCCAGCTACTCCAGAACCAAAATGATAACATCAAGAGTGAGGTTATTGTAACAAAAGCCAGTGAAAAAGCAAATTGTGTTGAAAAGGAGACCAGGCTTGAAAAACAAGATAAAGAGAAATCAGAGAAGAATGAACAGAGGGCAGAAAAAGTTCCTGTGCCCAAAACTGGACTTCTGACTGAAACACACAAGCCTGTTAGAACAGAGAACAAACTCATTAGACAGAGCAGCTATGAACTGAACAAGAAATCTGATGAAGCTGAAATTGTTAACACAGTTGCAAAGAAGTTAGAAGATGAGGTTATACCAAAGGCTACAGATGCTGAAGAGCCTTTAAAAATCACTGAAGTTGTAGCTTTAAAGAAGGCTGATGAGGCTGAAAAGGAAAACAAGGCTACCAGAGTCAGCATAGTAGATCCAGTTGAAAACAAAGCAGTAGAAGCAGCCAGATGCGTCTCTAAAATCCACTGAAATGCCAATATCAACACGAACAACAACCACGCCTAAGAAACGACACACAGAAGTAGACTATCAACTTCCCCAGCAGTCCAACCCGAGCAAATGCGATTAGTGAAGAGCAAGACTGAGAAGGAGATACCAAACCAAGGTCAAGGAGAAGGAAGTGACTTCACAAAACCCAGTAACCAAGTCCCCAAAAGCCAGTAACCAAAAGCCAACCATGCATTAAAGAGGTTGAGACTTCACCACCTGCAGTGCTTAAAGCAGAGGAGAAATGTCCTGATGACAGTCCTAAGGTCATGCCTGTTGAAGAAGTGAAGCCCAGTAGTGATACAGCAGTAACCGAATCCCAAGTACCTGTTGAATCAGTGACAGAAACAAATGTTGCTGTTGAATCTAAACCTGAAACCGAGCCCATCAGAGAAAGCTCTGGTAGACACACTCTGTATACAAGTGAGCAATAGCATGAGCCACTATCTAAAGTGATCAGAGTGGTTTCATGTCTGACAAAGAGGACCCAAAGAAATACCTGTGAAGGTGCCACAGAAGAGACGTAAGAAGAAACGGGAGCTAAGATCTCCCATTCCAAAAGTAACAGATAAGCCCACTCCTGCAGAGGTCACAGGATGACAATGACCACCTCCACAACTCCAGAAGATCCACCTCCACCAAAGAAGAAGAAGAAGATCAAGAGACGAAAGACCAACCGAACAGGCTTCCCAACCATCAGGAAGAAGAAAAGAAAGCCCAAAGATCCTCTTCACAGATGGATGATGAAAATGGGGAAGAGAAGAGTCCGGATGCTGAATCCAGTGTTGAAAATACCATGGAATGTGATAGCAGTGAGAAAATGATGGAATCTGAGCAGGAGAAAGGAACTGAAATAGAGAAGGAGGAATCACAACAAGAATGTGAAACTGAAGAGGCAAAATTGTCCTCAGATAAAAGTGAGAAATCTGTATCAAAGAGCCCTGTACCAAAACCAGTGCCCAGGCCAAGAGGGAGGCCAAAAAAGATAAACACAGATGCCAAACCATCAAGAACCCCATCAGAATCTCCGTCTCAGTCTCCTGAAAAAGCTCCAAAGCAACTTCGAGAATCATTAAGAGAAAGAAGGTCAGGAAAGGTTACAGATACTCCTCAAGAAGAAAAAATCTCTGAACCAGATCAAGATGAACAACAGCTTGAAAAGATCTTGGAAAGGGTTGCAACAGGTATAGGAGGAAGAACACGTAGGAAGAGAGATCTTAGTGAAGAGAGTGTCAAGACTGTTCAGAGTGAAGGAAAAAGACAGAAGAGACATGTGGATGAGGATGTAAGTATTTCAATATTTACCATTCAAGAAAAAAAAAAAAAAAAAAAGACCATTCATCTGGATCCTGTTTTAGATTATCTTGTTAATTTGTCATATATTCTCTAGCTTTTAGTAATTATGACAAGCTTATTTAATTATTATTTCTCATACAGGTTGAAGACAGTGATGCAGTGGTTCTTTCCTCTGAGTCCATGCCAAGTAGTGAGCCTCCATCTGGTGATGAAAGCACCAGAACTTTACCAGGGAAGAGGAAAGTACCGCGGTGGAGAAAGAAGTACTTGGTGGCTGGGCTCTTTTCAGATTACTATAAAGAGGATGAGTAAGTGAATAGATAATTTGCATTGTTTTGAGCTATCAGTATAATTTTGATTGTTATCATAAGATGGTTACTCAGTGTCCAGCAGAAGATTTAACTTTTTTTTTTTCTGTCACTCTCTCTCTCTCTCTCTCTCAGACCGAGAAGAAGGAACGGTGAAGTTTACTTGCCAAAGAACAAACTAACTTATGATCCAGAGGAACATGTACATGGCCTCCTTCCCCCTCCTTGCTATTGTCGTAAGTGGCTTAGAGAAAGGGAGATTGATTTTGTGTTACCATATGACCTCTGGTGGCTGCATGAGCACAACATGTTACCAGGAAGAGACATTGTACCCTCTTGGAACTACAAGAAGATCAAATCGAGTAAGTGTATGTTGATCATTTGTGTTCAGTCAGATAGTTCTTTCTATCTGTACAGTTTGTTTTTGTGATAGTGATTTTATTTTGATATTTTCAAATTTCCTGGCACATATTGTAATATGCATTTATATATAACCAGAAGGCTAGTACTCAAAGGATTTTCTATTTTACAGATGTATATTATGATGTCAAGCCACATTATGACTATGAACTGCAGGCATGTAATTGCAAGCGGCCTGCTAATCCTGAAGAACGAGGTTGTGGTGATGACTGCATAAACAAAATGATGCTGATTGAATGCTCTGCACAGACATGCCCAATTGGAGATGCCTGTGGTAATCAGCCCATTCAAAGACATGAGTACCGCACATGCCTTCAAAGGTTCATGACCCCTAATAAGGGCTGGGGAATCAGAGCAACAATGGAAATCAAAGGGGGAACGTTCATCCTGGAATATGTTGGGGAAGTCGTGAGTGAAAAGGAATTCAAGCACAGGATGCAAACCAGATATGCAAATGACACCCATCATTACTGCCTTAATCTTGATAGAGGAATGGTTATAGATGGCCATAGAATGGGAGGTGATTGCCGCTTTGTCAATCATTCTTGTGATCCCAACTGTGAAATGCAAAAGTGGTATGTGAATGGCCAGTATCGCATGGCTCTATTTGCACTAAAGGATGTCCAACCTGGACAAGAATTGACATATGACTACAACTTTTCCCTTTTCAATCCTGCTGAAGGACAAGAATGCAAGTGTGGTTCAAGCAACTGTCGGGGAGTCATTGGTGCTAAATCACAAAGAGTAAATGGAATTGTGGATGACAAAAAAAAGGTTCCAAAGAAGGATGTTGGAAAGAAACGCAAGCGTGGAGGAACAGCCGAAGTCGATGCAAGCTACATTCCCCGTCCACATTTTACTCCTATTAAGCCCCTGTCACATCAGCAACAGCTGTTTATCCTCACCCATAGATGTTTCCTAATACGCAACTTAGAAAAAGTAAAGAGATTTCGTGAACGACTTGCTAGGTGTCCCGAGAAGAAAGCAGAGGAGGTATTAGATGATCAAGAAGAACCTAGTACAAGAGTGGAGAAATTTCTCACTCATTTTACAGCACTCAACACTGCCAGGTCGGTTAAGACAAGACGCTTAGCCCAGGCAGAAGATGATCCTGAGATGACTCGATTGGCAAAGTTAGCACAGATCTTCAAAGATATTTATGATAAGCTTGTTGCTTCAAGAGATAGCAAAGATAAACCCTTAGCCACTCCATTTATGAC